GTGCCAAGGTGTCACTGCTTTGCACCTCCCTCTGGAGTTTGCAAAAATTAATTAGAGTATGAGTCAAATTCCATTGAATAGGTTACCTACAATCAAGGAACGAGATGACATAATAAAAATGACAATAGTGCACTACACAATCATGGTATATGTCGAGGAACATGTTTATCTGATTAGCTATCACCTCCCGAAAGAACAGAGGAAAACCAAAACAGTTTCCCATATAATTTCGCTCTCTTCCCTAACATAAACATTTCATATTTAATCATGATCTGAATTTCCCTTTGGGCTTTCTGCAACTCTCAAGATTTGCTGTTCACCACCCTCAAAATGGCATTTCCTGATGAAGGGAGCAGACGCATCCAACCTTCCCTCAAATTGTGCACCATGCATCCTCCAGGAAAATGTACAGCGGCATCACCATCAAGTCCACTCAATGTAATTAAGAGCAGAAAAACAGGAAGAGACCCACTCTTAAAAATGCAATGTTGTTTGTAAAAATCATGCCAGGATTTATCAAGCATTACAGAAAGGAATGAGTGTAGGAGAGAAGGTTAAAGTGATCGAATCTCACAACAGAAGCCAAGGTTCTTGAATCTGAATTAAAAAAAAATATCTTATTTTATAACAAGATGAATACTCCTAGCTGTCAGTCCAAAATCCCATATCTCATAATGGCTCAGGCATCATCATGCCAGGCCATAGTTTAGGAAAACTAGCCTTAATTTTCATTTTGAGAAAAAAAATTTCAGAAGTTTCTTCCATCTCTTTAATTAATGAGCATGGTTTGTCAATTCAGAGTATATGCCAATGGTTTGTCAATTCAGAGTATATGCCAAACCATGGTTAGTACAAATCATCATCTGATTCTGGCCAGCTGCCATTAACTACTGATGTCAGGTATAATGCAAGACCACAGTTAAATGTCCTTAATCCTGACTTACTAGTATAATCCTGATTTACTAGTATAAGGGAACATCAAAACAAGGGATGCATCACTTGAACGTATAAATGGACACTAATTAAGCCTGTTGTGAATAGTTTGCCAGGTAAAGAAGAATCAAACATATGTTCTCAAAGGCTTTCACGGCCAGGATCTGATGGTTATTGTAGGTTTTTCGAGCTCTTTGGCCGTGTTCTGAAGGTTTTTCTTCCTAACGTTTCGCCAGTCTCTGTGGCCGGCATCTTCAGAGGACAGGAGTCAGAACTCTGTCTGTGCTCTGGTGCAGTTTGTTTGGATAGTTGAGTATTTATAGCTGTGGGATCAGCTTTTGTCCTTTGACCAAGAATCAAACATGTTTGTTATTGAAAATGTTATTCATCTTTAGATTCCCAGGTAAAATACAAACCCTCTGAAAAGTGGAGTGCAGGTGACTCACATGGGGAAGTCTTCAAATATACAGTACCTGAACATCAAACATCCAACTCAA